TTCAAAGATGTTTTGTCATGGGTGTCCATAACAAAACATCTATTAGAAATTCTTGCTTTAACGTCTCAATACAGTAACCTACTCACGAGCACTAAAACTTTTCTCTAAACGCATAATTACTAAACCGTTAATCGATAGGGTGACCACTCTTAACGGGATAAACAAACAATATTTGAATTGATACTTTTCTGGTTATTTCTTGTCAAAATATAACATTAATATTTTTTTGAATTATGGAATGCTCAATTAACATTATGTCAAAGTATGTACTTCATCACCCTGTATACCTCGACATGTTATGCAACATTTACTTGAAAAAATATATTTCACAAGCATTTGTATACCACGCGTTATCGCTCATAAAGTGACAAAGTATCCGACAAGCTAGTTTCAATAACGATAAAATATTAAGTATCGTATCGTATACTGCAGGTTTAAAGAGAAAGCAGATTTAGGGTCGGCAAGAGGCCGACCGTATGTATTTATGTAAACATACGTTGTAAAAGCCTCCAAAGTATGTTCGCTGTAAATAGATCGTGTATTGTAGAAGGTGCTTGATTGAGGCGAATGATCGAGGCGTTGGGCTGCACTTAATTATGATAATGTAGATAAATAGTTTCGATATATGAACAAATTAATAATATACGGTGATACGTGATACGGAGCAATTGTAATTACTAGGTGCTTATTTGAATTCACGTTGAGTTATACTAGGTGCTTATTTGGATACATATGTGTATATATTTATTTAGATATGCTTACCCATTAGTGGGCGGGTCCGTCCGAGAAGTACCACGACCTCACCGAAAACCGATGGGAAGCGGAATTGTTACACTTCTGCGTTTCGTCTGGTTAGTGAGGTAATAGGGAACTACTTTATTAAAAGGTGGGCAGCGCATTATGAGTTCTGAATACATTTGTACTCCTATAGATATTTTTTTTTATTAAAAACATTGCCTTTACTTTAGGATAACATTATCCTGTGTTGTAAGGACGTTTTACAAACATAAATTTCACGCGGACAAACACCCAGATGCGAAACAACTATCTGTGGGCCACACAAATAGTTGTCCCGTGTGGGAATCGAACCCACGACCCCTGATACCGAAGCCAATAACCTTGGTGTCTGCGCCACGGAGTCATCAAGTCTTCATCAATTAACAGTCCTTAAAAAGATTACCCAAATGATATAATTTTAAATTGTTAAAAAAAGCACTTCGGTGTTCTTTCTTCCTTCAATATGAACGTGATAAAAATGAGATTGCCTTGAGATTGCAGCGAATTTAGTTTTAATTTTATCGCTCGGTAATATGTCTCTTTGTTGGAAGGAATTTTACGACGGTACCTTTTCTCGGGACGATTAAACCCTCCGATGTGGGGAAGTGATCGATTGGTTGCATTAACTTGGTATTGATTACGATATTGAGTTTCATGCGGATATATATAAACTATTTGGGCCGCGCAAATTCGTCTGCGCCAAATCTACCGGGTCCATACGTTTGGACTTTTAACATAGCGCCATCTATTAGATACTCACTCAATTCAACCGATAAATCTTATGAATCCGAATCATATGAAACTCACAGATACCTATAACTCAATTTGCAATAAAATAATAATTTAATAATGATAAATTAATAATTTAATAGATAAAGCAATTAAAAAAATATTGCGATTATAAATTGAAATGTAAGCTATCCTATCTTTCAAGTTGGATTAAATTGCACAAGGTGTACAAATTATGATTAAAATCGGTAAAGTAGTTTTGGAGTCCATCACGGACAAACAACGTGACATGTAATTTATATATAGTTAAGGTACGTAGGTTTGTTTCTCGTATGTATTTCTACACGATTCATCAGAATTGATTGCAACGAGAATGGTGACTTTTATCACTATAGCGCGTGCTCGTTTCCGAGTGATATGCACAAAAATTATGTTGAAGAGGCATTCCGTTCAGACTTCACTGTGTAAACTTTTATCTAAAGGTGACCTTTAGTCCCGGTCAGTTAGAATGAGGCTTAGGTAGCCCGAGGCGACTTAAAGGGGATTTTTGTTTCATGGGCGATGAAAGTCCGCTTGCTGACCGCTTAGTGTGGTTTTAGAGGATAAATATGAAGATTAGATAAGATAATTTTAGTCCCCGCTATGAAAATGATAACAGTATTCTTTTGGAACCAAGCGTCTTTCGAGTCTTCGTCTATCTCTATTTGTTTCGTAAGCGCTGTGGCCTCCGAAAATTATTATAAATATAATATTCGCAGTGTATGTGTCATTTATGATGTTTGAAGCTGGCAGTTCACCTGATGTTAAGTGATAACCACCGCCCATTGACACTTGCGACAACCATGTGGAGTTATAAATTCGTTACCACCTTTCAATAAAGTGCGTTTCGTCTGGTGAGTGAGGTAACTGGGGGCCACCTCACTCAACGGACGAAGCGCAGAAGTATAATACTGCCACTTCACGGCGGTCTTCTGTAAGGTCGACGTACTTCCCCGGACGGACCTGTCCATTCGCGCAAAAGCGAAGACTGTTGTGTGGCCCACATTCAACCCGACAATGACTAAGACAGGCAGTATCGGCACAGGTACCTTAATGACACTTGCCATTTGCAAGTATTATATATATTAAAATAATTAATATTTATGTGCTTCACGTATTTACACGTAGATTCCGAGTCCAGAATCCTTCAGACTAATTAACTCCAAAATCGACGTTATCGTATGTTAATATTATTACGAAATGACGTTCAATCGATGACGGATATTAGCCTAATTCGCTGTTCAACGTGACGTGTTCGATGAGCCATTGTAATTTTGACATTACAGTCCAAACTACATTAATTATCGCTTAATGAACGCTATTAGGGATGTGCTGTGGGTGGGCAAAAGAATACGGGGATATTATTCATGGACAGATTTTTTATTAAATTTATTACCATGTGAGTAAAATGATATTTTGTCAGTCAACACCTAGTAAGTTTTTGTTAAAAACTAACACTTTAAGTTTATTATTTATCATTACAGTATAAGTACTTTGTTAAATGCTAAACATCTGATATTCCGATATTGCGCCAAATATTGCACTTCCGTCCTTTGGGACGCAGTACTTAAAGTTTGGTAATGTTTTATAAAAAAAAAAAGAAAAAAAAGTGCGCAATACTTTATGCAATCAAATTTCTTCTACACAGTTATACACCGTTATAAAAACGTGCTTACTAAAAAGCAGTTAACCGAATTAAGGCGCTGTATGCAGTAAAAATAGGTTTTTCAAAAAAATTTTTGAACAAAATCTATACATTTTATAGAAGCAAAAAAAAATATATGTTAATCTTACATTCGAATGGACCATTGTTTTCAAAACATATTCTCGATAGAAAAAAATCATGAAACTACCTCTAAAAGAGAAATTCAAATCCAAAAATGAACGTAATACATCAACCAATCTTAATGAAATTATTATCAGTGGTGTAGAATATATTAATAAAAAGGACTGTTGTCTTAATTTGTTGATTGAAGTAAGATATTTGTAAATATTAATTTAATTCATTAAAATTAATTCGAACGCGATGACCAAAACACCGCGCCACCGCGGCTTTGTTTCGGTTCTCTTCCAACTCTACATGTTGAACAGAGTCTGACAGAGAGCGCCGAGGCAAAGACTACTATTGTATACTGGAAACTGCGCTGCATACTGAATACTGCGCTGAGGCGCCTTGCTAGATGGACCTATGCCGCTCATCGCCCGCTCAGCGTTACGAAATATGTTTCGTATTTATTTATTATTGAGAGTTTTAATTTTATTAGACCTTCGAAAACACGAAACTAAAAAATATATATTGACATATTTCGTATTTATAAATTATTTGTATGTATTAACTTAATGTTAATTAATTTATTTAAAGTATAATTTCAATGTCTTATCTCGTGATTGATTGGTCTAGCAGTCCTGTACATACAGTGTATAGGACCATCATTCTTTATGGATTGGGTTCAAATCCCTGAATTTTTTGTTGTACTTATTGTTGATTTTTTTATTTGGAAGTATTTCTTAATTACCATTTAATTATTGTTGATTTTTTATTTTCACAAAATATTGCAACGAAATATTATTGCATTTGTTCAAAGTTGAAACAGTTGGAGAACAATCTATCAGTAAATAAACCAACTTTAAGTATTAAAATTTTTTAACGTCATCTTTTTTTTTATTAATTTATTTAATTGTTCACACTAAAACGAAAATTAATCTTATACACGAAAAATAATTATTTTTTTTTTTATAATTTCTTTATTTCCCAAATTGAGCCATTTTATAAAATAAAAACAAAATAATTAGTTGGCTCACAAATTAAAAGTGAAAATAATATAAAAAATACAACTTCACTGGATGAGTGGTTTGATTTGGGACTACAGCAATAGTTTACCGTTGTGTATGACGCTCGGACCAACCGGCTACGCGAGGTCTGTGCAAAGTGACAAAATTTCGATTCTAGTTATAATTGCTTTTACATTTTGCAACACCCGTAGGATTGCAGAAGCGTTGCCACCTTTAAATAAAGTGGGCCCCTGCTACCTCACTCCTCAGACGATACACAACAGTGTAACACTTCCACTTCACGCCGGTCTTGTGAGGTATCGATTCGTGCAACGGCGAAGACTTGCGTGGGACGAACGTCTCATGAAGTTCACGCGTTATTATTTTTTTAATATAAAAAATGCATTTTAAAAATCGTACAAATTACCTCGGATATCAAACGCGAGCACAGCCAGCGCTTAAAAAAAGTTATTAAAATACAATGGGTTCTAGCCCATATCGGTATACCGGGTAATGAAGCAGCCGACGGTTTAGCTAACGAAGGTGTGATAAATGGAATAACATTCAACTGTTTGCCTTTATACACAGAGGAGCTATATCTAGTCCGCAATAAGTGTAAAGAACTGTGGAAGTAGCGCTTTGATGAGAGGTCACTTACTAAGGGTATTACGAGTAGAGGATAAATGGGTCTGTTCCAGCAAACTCAGTTCATGACTCTACTCCGATTGGATTTTCAGTTAGTCACCTCTACAAAGGTTTCGACGGTATTCCGGCTTTTGTCTCCCGTCATTTGCTGATTGCGATGGTTTTACTCGTATTTGCGAACTTTCTGAAGTTAAAAATTCATTTGAGGCTGTTGAAAATTTTTTCTTGGCTTTCTCTGGATAAGGCTTAGGGGTAGAGACTTGAAGTTTGGTAGGAATATTCCTTTCGTCGAGTAGAGGTCAGCAAAGAACGGATTTTACGAAATTCTACAATGCCGGATCATCTAGTTAGTTATATAATGAGACAAAACACTTAAAATTGCTGTGCCTTGTAAGACTTTATAGTATCAGAGTAGTTTTAGTGTTTATACTCCTCCGAAACGGTTTGACCGATTTTGATGAATTTTTTAAGTATATTCAGTACGTATGAGAATTGATTTATAACAATTTCTTTTTTATTTTTTTTCTATCCTATCAATAATATATATGGCAAAACAACGTTTGCCGGATCAGCTAGTAAAACTATAATATTTTATTTTATTTGAACGAATAAGGGACGCGTGCCGTATATGTTATTTTCTTGCAGTTTTAATATTAAACTGCACAAGTATATCACAGCTACATTACCAACGTAACTGACTTCGGTATATTTTGCACGAAGCCACTGGCAAGTTGAATAGATTGGCCCGTTTCTAGATTAAAACTTCTTCGACCGTGAATGAGCGATGCCAGTAATTTTAATTTCCCGTAGGCGTAAAAGTTCGCACCCGAACAATGAGTTCTGAAGGTGCCTTCTATGCCCTCATAATTCTATTATGTAAAATAATTTATGCAACATTTTATAGCAGGTTCTACAAGAGACCTTATAACTATTGTTGAATAAATACTTTGTCATTATTATTTTTAAATCTAAGAAAGAAATAATTAATCAGAAAGCAAATGACAAAATCATAACATGATGTCTATTTTTATATCTAGATATACTTAAAATAATTGTATAATTTAATATATAAAATGGAGTATTTCTCCTGTTTGCGTTGAGAAAATATTCTAAATAAATATACTGAAAGTTTTAAGAGTGTAGGTGTCTTTAAATTTAATGAATTACTTAGCTGAACGACTTTGAAACACAATAAGTATTACTCAAGAATGATAAATTAAGTATAAACAAAAACAAAATAAAAACAAAAACAAATGAAACAAAAGTACCTGGAGGACGGTTTTTTTTGGTAAATCAAGTATTTTGGAAATAAAAAAAATAAAAAAATAAAGAAAGCAGATAAGCAAAGCTGGTATAGAAAAAACGAAAAAAAAAATAAACGCGGCCGTCTGTTTTGGGGCCGCCCGATTACCGACCGAGCTATTATAACATTTTTTTTGCGGCGAAATTTACCGTTATATTCGAATGATATTTTTCATTCCCCCAAAACAGGGATAAAAGGACATTTTCTAAAAATGAAACCTAGCTAGATCGATTTTTCGCCCCCGAATCTACGCACATACTAAATTGCATGAAAATCGTTGGAGCAGTTTCCGAGATTCCGATTATATATACACAAGAATTGCTCGTTTAAAGATAAGATAAATATATAATAAATTATACTAAATCTTAACAAGAATAATTGCTAATAAAATGACAAGATTAAAAAATAAAACAAACCTGCGATGGTAATATATAATTATTTGATTGGAGTATCTAATCGAATAGTTTATATAGATTTAATAGGATATTTAACGGGACAAACTTCAATCAAATATCAATGAATGAGTGTCTTTAAAATAAAATACGTCTTTGACGACTGATCATTCAGAAAAACTTAAACAATTACGCGAATAGCCGAATTGTGTCGATTGTGCGGCGTGTGGGTAGTTGATAAAGCATGCGATTGTGAAGTGGCACGGTGGAAGTGGATAAAGGCGAAAACGAGACGGGGCGAGAGAAGGACGGGGCGAGAGTAGAAAGGGGCGAGAGCAGTACGGGGCAAGAGCAGGACGGGGCAAGAGCAGAACGGGGCGACAGCAGGACGGGGCGAGAGCAGGACGGGGCGAAGGCCTCACGATTAGCGCCCGTGTGGTAGCGGCGACGCTAACAGCGGCGCGCGCCTGCGCTGCGGGCGCCGCCAAGCTGGGCGAACACGCGGCGATGCTCGCGGTGGCCATTTGCTGCATACTGGTGCTGCTGCTGGTCTTCATCGTGCTTATCATCGTAGTGGGCCAGAACGTCGAGGCCAAGGGCGGCTCGTAGCGGACAGAAGGTAAATCTTATACTTAAGTAGCGACCCGCCCCGGCTTCGCACGGGTGCAATGTATTGTACATATAAACCTTCCTCTTGATTCACTCTATATAGTGAAAAAACCGCATCAAAATCCTTTGCGTAGTTTTAAAGATCTCAGCATACACAGGGGCAGACAGACAGGCCGTGCTCCCTATCCTCCGCGACTCGGCGGGGCTGCACCGCTGATGCAGCTGTGGTGAGGCCGCGGGGGGAGAGGAGTGTCGGTATTGCGGTGCGCCTTTCTCCCTATCCTCCACGGCCGAAACGTGGTGAGCAGCGGAGCCACACTCCAGGTCCGCCGCTGGGGGCTGGGAGGCACTATTAGCACTGGCCAGGAGTGGCTCCCATGGCCCTGGTCAGCGTACTCGGGGGAGTTCGTTGGCCGTGAAAATGGGGCCAAGTAGGAAGGCGCACTGAATATTCCAGCGCGTCTTACCTGGAGGAGAGGGGAGTTGCTCCCCGTGAGGGGGCTGCTAAGGCGGCTAGCGCTGGCAGGGTCACGGAGGTGTGCGAAAGCGTTCCCGTGAATCTGCCGATATGCGCCTAGGTGTATTATAACTCGCACTGACTAAAACCCCCACGCCTATAATCCGTGGGGGTTTTAGTCGGTGCGAGTCCGACATAACCCGCTCTTGCCCCCGCGAGGGCGGGTATGCGTAGCCATTTCCCCCACGTCAACAAAAAAAAAAAAAACAAAAGAAAAAAAGGGACAGACAGATAGCGGGATGACTTTGTTTTACACTATGTATAAATAAATAGAGTTTACGTTTAATGAATGTACCGACTAGTTACAGACCTAGGCAGGTGAAGAAGGAGACTTCACCTGATGTGGGACCTATGCAAGCAGGTCCTTCATCAGGGTGAGCGGGATGAGTTGGCGGGCTGAATGTCTCACGAAAGCTTTAGTAATTTTATTGCTAAACTATACGGCAATTGCTAAGTGTATAATGAAATTGTGTTACCTGCTGGGTTTGTCATCCACTTAACTACTATCAGAAGGGAATTCTTAAAAATAAATGGGCAGCGTTGTAAAACTTTCGTCTGCTGTCTACGTAATGTGCATCATTAATATTGAGGTGTGTCACGGCGAACAATTCTTCTTCTTTATAATCTAGAAAAGATGTTCGTAAAAACGACGCACTTCACAGAAAATAGACAATGATAGAGGTCTCTTAGATAGAGAAGGTTGGAATGTATCCGTCTGCCTGTGCGCATAGTATGTGCAGTCATTAATTCTAGGTCTTAGAGAAGGCTAAGGAGGCTCGGGCACGTGCGTCGCATGGCTCAGACTCGTTTCCCGAGGCAAATTCTACTAGGAGAAGCTCGCAGACGCATAGAAGCCTATTGGGCGACCTATATTGCGTCAAGCGTGATATGATCGCATCGCAGCAATGGGAAGGCCAGCCACGGGCGCAAATATCATAGATGATAAGGCCTATTTTTTTTTAAATTATTATTGGGGGATATTTATTTCTTTTCTCGTCTGATTGGGTTAATAAATAGATTATATATATATAAAACTCTCCTTCAAAAGCTAGAATATTATGGCATTCGTGGCATCACCCTCAATCTCATTGCCTCTTACCTAGTAATAGAATTCAAAAAGTATTTATAAATGATGTTAATTCCGCTGGGTCCCTGATGAAAATGGGTGTCCCACAAGGATCAATCTTGGGCCCATTATTATTTTTAGTATATATAAATGACCTCCCCTTTTATGCGAGTGGGTTGTGTGATGTTGTACTGTTTGCTGACGATACATCGCTAATTTTTAAAGTTGACCGAAACGTATTAAATTTTGACGACGTGAATATTGCACTTTCACATATCTTCCACTATTAATAATATGGTTTTAAATGCCAAAAAAACCAGATGTATTTTTTTTACCCTTCCCAGTATAAGAATGAAAAGTTTTAGTTTAATATTAAATAACGTACCCATTAATCCAGTTGAGTCTGCTGTATTTCTGGGAATTACAGTAGATTCAAAGCTCCAGTGGAGTCCCATATATCATCTCTTGCGAATAGGCTGAGCTCCGCTGTTTTTGCGATTAGAAGGGTTAGGCAGCTAACAGACATCGACACTGCCAGACTTGTTTACTTTAGTTATTTTCACAGCATCTTGTCGTACGGCATTTTGTTGTGGGGTAGTGCATCAGATATAAATTCTATATTTATTCTTCAAAAAGGAGCTGTCCGAGCAACAATATCGGAGGCCGGAATTCACTCAGAGATCTTTTCAAAGAGGTTAATATACTCACTGTTGCTTCTCAATACATTTATTGTAATATTATGTATATACGTCATAACCTTAATTATTACCTAAAGAATAGTGACAAACATAAAATAAACACTAGAAATAGAGACAAAATTACTACGCCATTGTTTCGTCTACAAAAAGTAAATAGGTCGTTCATGGGGCAAAGTGTGCGCATGTATAATAAAATCCCACAGTCGATATTAAGTCTGCCGCTTGACCAATTTAAATGTAAAATTAAAAATCAACTAATGATTAAATCATATTATACCATTTCGGAATATCTCGAAGACGCCAATGTGTGGAGTTAATACTGTTGATACTCACGTAGGCTAGAATAAGACTATTATACTTGTATATTATATGCTATCCTGATATTTTTAAAAAGAGCACCTGATGAGTTTCGTGCCGGTCTCTTCTCAACAGAAACTGCTTTCCGAACCGGTGGTACCTTACGAACCTATATACATAATCTTTGATGTAAAATTTGACGATTCATAAGAGCGCGAAGGGTCTATTTGAATAAATATATTTTTGATTTTGATTTTGATTTTTGAATCTACTTGTAGATACTATACTATATATACATAGTGCCCTTTCACATATCTTCCACTGGTTTACTATTAATAATATGGTATTAAATGCCAAAAAAAACAGATGTATTTTTTTTACCCTTCCCAGTATATATATATATATATATATATATATTTACATATATATATATATATATATATATATATATATATACAAGGCAGCCTTATCGTAGTCCATAGCGGTTGAGTTACATGCACTGTAGCGTAATGAAAAAGGAATTAATTATAACATTTCCTTCGGAGTTTATAGTGCTCTTATATATTCCAGTCATATAACAAAACTTGCTAACTGTTTATTAAAATAATACGAAACAATTCAATACTACAATTTATATTCTTACGTATTCTACGTGCATAATATGTACATATGTACAATTTTTTTTATTCGTATGTAATTATAATATATCAGTTACGTACCATAAATATGATCTCCACAGTTCAGGCATTTGACGAGAAAGTTAGTTTTGACGCAGTGGTCTCAAAATCATTTACCAATCAACCTCAAAGTTTTGACTCACACAGAATTGTAAATGCTACCACGTAAGTCTTCATAAGACAAACTTTGAAGATGACACTCGGTAGCAGGTAGCGATTTTGCCTTTATTTATCATAATAAAAAGAAAAGTACCCTTGAATAAGATTCCCTATGTATATGTATATCTAAAGATCACTCTTAACATCGATTTTGCCAAAAGGCTCCCAAAAATAAAATAACATATTTAAAATCAATGATTATACAAGACTTCACTATTTATAAGTCAAATATACCTTGAATTCATTGAAGCGTTCAAAACTAACGAGATGCCTCAACATCTGTAACTGTTGAAGTGGAGGCGGCTTGGTACGTGTAATCAAAGGATCGTTTGGAAGACTTTATAGCTCCAGTGTAGCATTAGTTATCGTTGCCTTTGTAAGATGTGGAAATATCTATCTTAACGTGTTTCCAATCGTATGAATCCAGAAATGGAATGCATACGTTTATACGTTACATTATTTAAGAGTGGTAGGAATATATCAGAAATATTTAATCTCCCACTTATTGCAATTTTTGTCTTCTTGGTGAAATGGATACTCATTACTAATTATCACTCTTTTGAAAAAAACGGAGATGTTTTAATATTACGTTTATGGTCTATGGTAAGCATATAACAGACGCGATAAATCAGACAGTAACTAAATTTGAAAAAAAAATCTATTTCCAAAAACGGTCCACTAATTCCAAAATGTAATCGTCGCTGTACTGCATGCAATCTTGCAGTACTATGTGTAATTGAACTTTATTAAATTTAAACAGATGGATGTTATATACAGACTTTTAAAAGACCTTCAATCCTGTACACCATGTTATTCTTCTAAACAAATTATTTTATGCAATGTAACGCGGTGATTTTCAGAGCTGGATGTGTCTTTAACAACGGAAGGCAAGCAGTAGTAATAGGATGTGCCAAAAGAAACAATTCAAATAAAAAATCTAGAGTTCCACAAGGATCGTTATTGGGGCTGATCTTGTTCAATTCATATATTCAAACGCATTTAAAGTGGTAAATCCGTATTGACTGAATTTTAACCACATATTTTATTTTCCCGCTTCGAATATTATTTTTATAATCATTAATGCACACCTTAATACATTTTTATATAATATAAAATAAAATGATTACCTTAACTTATGGAAAATGTAATTCTGTTGTGTTACTCATGAATAAATAAAAAGCCAATGAAACATTATTTTGGGTTACTTTGTAATATTTTTTATTTCATTCAGTATATTATAAAGTATCATTTAACAGGACATTAATAAAGTATAAAAGTATGGGGCAATTAAGCCTTATTTGAGAACTAATTTAATTTAAAACACTGTGAACGTCGGTACTATAAATATTATAATTATTTTATATAAATATATATAATAGCCCCTACGTACAAATTCATCTAGACATTTTAAATTGCAACTAGATTAATGTTCTGTTAATTTTTATTTTATACCATAGCACTGTGCTGTAAATTTTTGTTTTGCACGCATTTAATCGCACCATTTAAAATGTTACAATTTAAAAGAAAATGATTGCAAGCCAATACCTTGTATCGCTAACACTGAGATGTGAAAAGTACCTACT